CCAGAAGAACTTCCCGGCTTTTTTGTAACTTTTATGTTACCGTCCTACGCAGCAGTAACGGAACATTCTTTGTAGACTTTAAGGTATCGCTAACTTGCACCGACGAAACAGACTTAGGAGAACTCAGAGGCGACGAACCACACGCTACGCTACGAGTTGAAACTTTGTTACCTGGAGAGGAAGATGACTGCGCAATATAACGACGCTCATAACACCTAGTCTTGATTATTTCAAATTTCTGCCAAAGCATTTTCCACCTTTCAGAAGTTTTGATGAGTTTTCATGAATTTCTTAATGCAATTTTTTAGTCGAGTTTTCCTTCTATTTTAATACACCTAAGGGGAACTTTGGTTTGGAGCTTTGAATTCTTTATCCATGAAATGGTGAAGTTTTGACACCACCGATGTTGCTAGTATACTTTTTTAACTTGCCGTATGTTTCTTGATGAGTTAGTGTAAAGGTAATGGTTTTCTAATTCCTATCTTTTCGTTAGACTTTCTTGAAAAACTCATTGATATAAATTCTTTTCAGCATGTCAATATACCAAATGTAAATCAATGCTAGATTATTAGATCTAATTTTTTGAAATCAACTTTTCGATTCATATATTTTATTATATATAACTTTTTTTTTATTATATATGACTTTTAGCCTACTTAACTTTGATGTTGAGATTATGCTCTTATGCTTCAATTAAACAAATTCTTATTGATAACTATTGTCGAGCTATACGGTGATTACATTTAGCGATTTTATAAATGTACTATTATGTTTAACTTTAAAAAAAAGAATCTAAGAAAAAAATAGATTCTTAAGATTTATAAATATATGTACAAGAAACAGTGGGGTCGTCATAATTGAAGGCGATGATGCCATCGCAAGAAAAATGACTCAAGAAACCGAAATCAAAGTACGTAATAATGGGGACCTTAAAACAATGCTAATAAAAATGAGTTTCAAATATGGTAACGACGAATTAATCCACAAATTAAAAACTCTGTACTCTTACTGACACATTATATTTGGTAAAAAAAAATGGGGCGAATAGAAGTGGTGTCCAATGTTATAACGCGATTTTTGGGAATGATCTTGTTTTCTTTATTATTATCCTTTCATCGGCAAAAGGTGCAAAGGTGTTGATAGCGCATGTTAATCATCTAACGCAGACTAAACAATGTATTTTATGAAAGTCCAGAAAGAGAAACGCAAAATCGATTACTGATGAATTATTCTAACATAAATTTGATTATGCCAAATTAAAACTGTTAAACATTGTTACTCGTAGTTATAATTGCTTTCAATTACATCATATTGACGATCGGAGCAAAGATTGGCTATTTTAATTACTCTCTGATTGCGTTTTTTCTTTGTGCGCTATAGATTTATAAATGAAACGTAGTATTAATTGGAAATGGGCTTCTATTTCTGCGAACTTTTCCAATTTCAAAGTGATAAGTCACGACATGACTGTGGACTCGCAAAGTGGTGGTGGTGGTATTGGTACGTATGTCGAAAGGTTCTGAAAGTCTGAATTTACCTCGAATAGCATGCAGTCGAATACATTGCACTTGCAAATGCTGCTATTAATACGAAGCATGCAATCCCTCTTAGAACTGTTATGTGCTTCTTATACCTCTTTAATATTAAACTACGATCAGTTTCTTGTAGGTGCAATTTTCTATTATTGAGTAATGACCACGGATAATGCTTCATGTTTTGGGGTTTATCCGTAAACTTAAATCTGCTTGTCCATGCCTTCAACAGAATGTCTTGAGAAAATATAAAATATTTATCCAATGTTAACGATAAGATTTTCTGTCTCACTTCTAAAATTTCAATATTACATAATGGTACACACAGCAAGCAGCTGATGTTGGAAAGGCTGCAGGCTGCGCGCTGAAGCCTACTTAATGTGGAAGGATTGTCCGAAAATTCAAAATTGGTCCATTTTTGGCAAACTTCGCAACAAAGTGCATGTGAAATATGAAATGAATGCACTATGTCAAGGAAGTCGATAATAATCTCCCACCGAAAGATCTGGGGAAAAATCTCCCTACCTATGAAATTGGTGGTGATGACTTGGAATAATATTTTTTAAAACGTAACACTGAATCTTCGTTGGTATCAGTGTCCAAAGGTTAATAATTCTTTACCTACTCTGAGAGAAATCTCCTCTGGGGTATCTCAAAATTTAATAATAGGGCCAATTTTGTATAGTGTATTTATTAGTGGTTTGACAACCTCTTGTCGCATTACAAAAATTTGTTTATATGCTGGTGATGCAAATATATTTTTCACGGTCGCTAGGTCTTGTTGAGGATTTTATGGAAGAAGTAAATTATGGTCTACGCAATACTGTCCATTGGTCTAATAAAAACAATCCACGACTAAATTCAACCAAGACCAAAGTTATTGCTATATCCCTACCCAGAGGTGAATAGTTACGTTGTCAATATTGTTTTCAATCTTGGTTTGAAGCTAAATTTTAAACTAAATGCATGTGATCACACTAAAGAAATAACAGTGAGGTTTCATAACATGCCAAGAAAGCCATGGCTGTCATCTTAATACATACTTAGTGAAACTAGATTGAAACTAATTATGCCTTCCAGTCCCTCTCTTCTCTTAAGGTGCTAATGTATATGACAATCTTGATCATATTCCAAAAAACAAATTGTTAGGTGTTTGCAAAAAATTTTGATCAGCGACATCTACAGTTAAAAATAATAAACAAATGGAAAATATCAATGTACATAACGGATGAATTCGATGGCTTTAACCTTCCTGCACATAAAATAACAGCTTTCCATTTGATATTATTTATTTATTCAGCGTATGCCGACGCTAATGATAGAGCGCTTAAAATTCTCCTTCTTCCAAATATGTTATTTATGTTGTTGATTTGAAGAAACCTGCTGCCGAAGCCCACCAAACACGTTCGGAGGTTTACGGTGATGCTGGTCCATCATATCCCAATTGTCGGTTTTGGGTTCAAGGATTTAAAAGTGGCGACACGAAAAATGTTTTCCGCAGATATTACAAAATTGCGCAAACGGGAAGACGAACAGATGGACAGACGGGCATGCTTAGATGCATTCCAAATTTGAAACTAGCGGGAAATTTATATACTTGATGGGATGTTTGAAAGTTATGAACGTGTTGAAAAAAAAATTTAATTTTAGCATATTCTCCCTTTCACAGATATGAACATGTCGCCTATAAACTTGCAACAGAATTCGAAAATGCTCCAATGTTTTCAAAGAACATGCCTACAACACCCACACGCCTATGTAAGAAAAGCACTTTTGCTTACTCAAAAAGTGCAATACACACACTATATAAATTGCCACTTTTATTCTGAAAATAGAAAAAATCAGTCGCGTCCATCCCATATTATAAAGTATGAAAATCTACTTGTTTTCCTTTTTTTAGGATAACGATGACGGGTAAAAAAGATTCGGTCACGACCGAATGTAATTTTCTTGTTTGTTGGTCTTGAGTGTGCGCTCCCTCTATTAAATAGTTAGCTCTATACGCGTGTAACAACCACAGCTATCTTTTCTTTCGGAATATTAACTTGGCAACATTAAATAATTGCTAATAATCGAATCAATTGGCAATTAAAATTTCGTAGTTATTGGTGAACATTGAATTCGTAACTCCGATTTGTTTGAAGACACAATTAGGTAATATACTATTGCAACATTACATATAAGCTTCCCCTTTATGAAAACATTAACAGACTAGCAATAGATTTTAGTCAAATTAATAAATTACTTTTTTTCTTTTTTAAAAGGTTGTGCAAAATTTTCGCCTAATTTATTTATTATACTATTTTGGAATTCATTTGCTTCATTCTGTAAAAATTTTTAAGTAGCGGAAACTCTTTGGAATCTGATGTCCTGAACGTGTTTGCGTTGTACGCAAATGCTATTAATGGCCTTAATATGACAATAATAGCAAAAAGCACTTGATATTTGAAGCAATTAATGATTATTGAAAAAAAAGAACGTCAAATCTGCCCTGTTTTAACTCAAGATTGAAGTTTATTTAAAAAGCGGAAAAACTATTGCCAGACGCAAAAGGCGCTAACTCAGCCGTAAATATCATAACATATAAAACTTGGTGCCAACTCTAAAAAAGAAGTTAATCGTGATGATCTCAAATTATGAAATCTTACATCTTTTCGCTAAATTCCCTTAACTTAATTTAAATTCGAATATTATAATTCGTTGTAAATAATTGGTCGCATATCGTCCTCATCACGTACTATATCCCTGGTATAATTATTTTGGACATCGAAACGTTGTAAGGTTCAGAATTACTTATCTGCGGACGTCTGATACTTTTAAGAATTTATCCAAGCTAATGCTAAGCTTAGCGTACTTCCCAATTTTTCGAGCGTAATTCAACTTGCGACCTTAGGTACGCTATCTAATAAATCGCTTCTCCTTGCCAGCATCCCTCCTTAGACAGCAGTTTAAACTTTGCTGCCCTTCTTGTATTCCCTTGCCATTCGTTTCTCTAGCCAATAAAAAACGGATGTTATCTACACTAATATTAAGAAGGTATTTGAAAGACTAAGTGATATTTATACGTTTTCATATTGTGTGAAAAGTATGTCGGGTAAGCTCGTCACACTTCGTTACTCCATTGTGCTTCTATATTCACATTCCTCTCTGTTCGTCTGTTTCAACTCGCAATCCTATTTTTCTCGTCTGCTTCAATTTCACTTTAATAAACTGTCCATTTGAGATTCATTCAGTTCACTCCATTGAGTTCTGTACTGATTTATATAGCCTAGATTCCCTTTATCTATTCGCTTAGATAATTCGCTTTAATATACTCTTTTCCCCGATACAACCAGGCCCGTGGTATTATTAATTCTCTCATAATATTACTAACGCTAATTGAAAGGAATTAATTTCCTTAAGCGCAAATACAGCGAAAGACCCCTCCTCCTGCATATAATAACTTCACTAAAAACTCTTTATACTTACAGTTAAATGTTTTTTTCTCTTATAGCTTGCCCAATTTTGCGCTTCTAGTATTAACTTTCCACCAGGCCGTAATTGATTAAACATGCGTTTAAATGCTAGCTTCAATCCATTATCTCCGAAATTTAAATGAATCCATTTTGTAACTGACAAGCATAAGATGAGATCATATTGTTGCACGTCATTTGCCAGTTGAGATTCGTCATTAAGTACGTAGTTGGTTTTTCGGAAAAAAACGTTATTTGGAAATAGGTGTTTTGCTTTTAAATTTGCATTATGTTTCACAGTGGTAGTCATTAAGCTCGACCTGGGAATTGTCACTCCTCCCAGGTGGCCCAATGAGTTTATTGCTGTTGGAACGGGAGAATGAGGCTCAATTTTATTATTTGAAGCGTCTGCCATTTGAACAACACAACCATATGTGAGAGGAAACGAGATTGGGAATAAGTCAACTTCAGGTTTATCTCGCACACCGATTTGGCGGTTATGGTGATGGTGGGTATGAAAACGGTTTGTATTTAATTGATCGAAGTTGTTTGAAACCGAATAATTTTTAAATTTTTTAGTGCTTTTCCTTCTTTTAATATTAACTTGCCGTTCCTCCGGAATTTCGTTTTTCTTTCTCATATCTTCTGGAATTAAAACATGTAATCCAAGGTTACGACGAGCTTGCGAAATTAACTCTTTATCGATGTCAATACCCAAAATAGATTTAGGTGATAATTTTTGAGCTATCGATATGGTCATTTGTCCAATATTGCAACCTATATCAAGCACGTCCTTATCTTTAAAAAGTTCAGGAAAACGTTGGAAAACCTTCAATCGAACATCCATAAATTCATTTAAATTGCGAAAACCATCATGCCTTTTGTAATTTCCATAGCAGTATTTCGCATTCGCTGCATTAAAACTAGACACTTCGCTTTTTTTCAAATCATTAGAGCATGCATTCGTTTTGCTTTGTTTTATTCGTCTTATGTCGGTTAGCTCAGCAGCAGCTGTTTGAGGCACAATATTCAATACCTGCCGAGAGTCAGTTATCGTAAAATTACTTTCAAGGCTTAAGTCCACTGCTGCCTCGTTATGGCGCAAACTTGACTCTTTGTTTGAATCTTTAAAAACAAGTAAATGATAGTCGTTATTATTGTATTTCATTAATCAAGTTAAAAATTTCGTGACATAATCCATTGCCCATATCAACAGAGGTTTATCAGAACTGGATAAGGTTGACTGTTAAATAAAACTTTTCTATACCACTTCACCTATCTTCGTCAAAAAATATCAAAAATGACCCCTTGTTGCCAATAAAAGAACACCAATGGTTCCTAAAATTAACGTAGTTCAAACTTGTCATAATAAGTTTACAAGATAAAGAATTACTTTTTTATCTACCACTGTTTTCATCACAAATTGTTGAATATTTTATATCTGCTTAGGACGTTTATATGGGCGGACGTTTAAATGATAAGTCCATGCCATCCAAGGTGAATGCTACTCAGTACCGATTCTTGTTCAGAAATATTAAAAACGATTATGGCAAATTTAAATTTGGAGAGATTCAATTTTTTTTAAGCGATAGGTGTTTTTAAGAATGGTTTCACAATTGGACTTGTTCAAATTTCGGGTTTGTACCTATTTTGTGGATGTAGTACATAGTATAACAATATAAACATGATATATACCAAGCTATAATTAATATGCCATACTTTGTCCCCATCTCCTCCACTATCTGGTAAAGAAAACAACAGTTTACCTGTAATTGTAAATTTTCCTTCTTCGTTGCACGAATTTGTATCATTATTAGATAAGCTTTTTGAAGTTATTTTACGCGCACCGGTGGCTATTGAACGTATTTGCCGAACCCAGGCACCTGGCTGAGGTACCACTGGACTTACAATCTTGTTCATTGAATCTGAACGATATTTCTGTGAACAAATAGAAAACAAAAGAGATGGAGTTTTATATAAGTATCCAGTATATTTGATAAAAATACCTTCATGACTTACTTTATTTTTTTGCGAAATATTTTCGCTCAGCTTTCGTTTTCTATGATTAACAGTACATGATCCGTTTTCCCCCGAATTATCATTTAGACATAAATCCAATGACAATTCGCGATTTTTGTCTTGCTTAATTAACATTCCATCACCCATACTATAATCCACATCGGTTAATAACTCATGTGCATTATTCGATAGAGAGCTTAGTTCTTCGCCAGATTTAAGTACAAGTACATTGGATGCCGTTGAAGTGGAGTTTATCTGTTGCTTGACTGATATTGTTATATTGCTAACTTCGGAAGGAACTGAACTATTAAGATACTTGAAACTATCCGGATCATCTACAGCTGCGTTCATTGAAGAATTGGAGGATTCATAGCGACGACGTTTCATTTTCCGATTTTTGCGCTGCCGATGCTTATGAGTTTTATTCAGGCCCTTTGGACCACTCAGACTTTTTAGCATTAATCCTATACCTCTTTTCATTGGTGACGTCAGCTGTTTTTCGTATTCTCTAGAATCTACTGGATCGAGCAAATGCAGTGGATCATGTATATTTGGCGGTATGATTACTTCAACTTTCGGAGGTGTTGTAATAGGGGATTGGCGAGGTGTTGTGGCAGGAGTATTATTAAAGGAACTTGTCTGGCCTTCATTTTGTAGCGAATTCAGATTTAGCGGATCTGATATATTCCCTCCAAGCAAAAATTTGGTTGGAGGTATAATATTGCCTTTGCGCGGTCGTTTGTCAGGTAGAAAAAATTTGGAACGTATGCAGCAATGGCTATTGACGCCTACGCAATTATGCATGACTGTTGAAGTATTACTACTTCCAGGGGGCAGTATATCTTTTGTAGTAGCTGCGTTGCAATCACCTGCCGCACAACATGTATTAACTGGGCCATTTGCGGTTCCGCTACAAGCACTTAAATTATTATGCATTGTACTCGGCGCTAGGTTATACTGATTTCTTTGGTTCACCGAAAATCGTCTATGTACATGTTGTTGTTGCAAAAATCCATGGTCAAGCACGGCAGGTACTAACGTATTATTTTTTGACTCATTACTACATGATATTTTGTGTGGGTGTGTACAAGTATAGTTTTCTATATTTCGAATATTCTCTAAATCAATGTTTTCAGATGTCGAAGCATTTGAAGACTGAATAAAAGTTTTAATTTTGTGCGTAAGAATATTTCCAATAGATTGCATTTTATTATTTTTCTGTTTTTTATTCCATGTCCTATTTTTCTTATTAGCGCTGAGCTTGGAGACAACAGATGTCGTTATCTTTTTATGCCTTACGAACTGCTGCGGAGCTCGAAATTGGTGCCCTTGCTGTAATGATTTTGACTTACTATTGGCCAGCTTCACTGTTTCTGATATTGAGATCGACTTATCCGAAACACCATACTGATTACACAAAGAATCTTTTAGGGACTTCGAATCAAACCCTGAAAACTGATCCATTCCTATAATTAACGGAAATTAAATAATAATAAAGCATTAGAATATCTGTACTGGCCACCATTTGATGTGTAAAAGATTAGTTCTCCACACTATTTATAAAACTTCGTTTTACGTCATTTAATGATTTGTAATAGAGATCTTGTGAAGTTACAACTTTGAAACAACAAAAGATGAACGCTTTACAACAAACTATTATTATCACATTTACGAAAATTGCAAAACATGTCACACTATGTTACACTCTTTTATATATGGGAAAGGAGATATTTAGTTTACGAAATTTTTGTAACTCATAAGAACTTTTGTTCATCAGTGGTATGGGAATTCCTTTCTCCTATTAGAAGACATCTGAACACAACATTACTACGAAAATCGCAGTTTCCGGATGCCAGCTTATCAACTGGAAAAGTAACACCATCGTAGAGTAGAAATTGTTTTACGCGATTGCCGTAGCCTACATTATCATTAGCTGATTGAATTGGAGAAGCCCTGGCTTTGGCTGCTAAGATATTATTGCGGACAAAAATAGCGAGAGCAAACTCCGCGCTAGCATCGAAGATGATTATTTGCTCTCGCCAACATTTTGGAATTTCCGCAATTAATAAGAACAAGTAGTCTTTAGATCTATTAATTATATTAAATATCAACGTCGGCAGCTACAAACCAAAGCCAGATTTTTTTTTTTGAAAACTGCGCGTTTTGAAGCTTGTAAAAGAAGTTGACAAAGCTTTTGATTGTTTTGTTTGGACAATGAACAGGGAAAAGTGGAAAAAAGTACATAAGTGAATAATAACCCTTTGAAAGAGTATAAGTGTATAATAAATTTAATTTGAATAAAAATATAACTTATAACATTTAAAATAACTAGCGAAGTGGAGTTGCAACTAACTCTGAAAAAAAATAGATTAACTATAGCTTTTGATGAGGGGGATGATGTATTCTAATTTTGTTGAATTTCATGGCTTTCTTTTTAGAAACTTGAAATTAACATACTTTTTCATTTGTCTATGTCTTTGGAACGAAATTTAAACTGTCCTAAAATTTTATACCTTATGACTTGGTTATATATTGCTTTCATTTATATAGTTTCAAAGTCTCGTATAACACAGCTTCGATACAACACTGTACATATTGAATTGGTTTATACTATATCTAAGTTTAAATCATGTTATTTTATACAAATAAATATAATAAATAAATTATATGATTTTATAGCAGAGTTTAAATAAATTAAACTTATATATACTATAAACAAATTCATATGCAGTATTGTAGCGAAACTGTGTTATACGAGACTTTGAAACGGTATAAAATAGGGCAATATATAACCTAGCCGTCAGGTATAAAAATTTATGATAGTTAAAATTTCCCCATATATATGTATCCACCTGCCTATATATATCTATACGTCTATATATAGAAGGATGGTAGGATATAGAAGGATAATAGATAGAATATTAAAACCTAGCACATTTCAGTGTACCCGCATTTAAAAATACGATGATAAAGAAATAGTAATCCGGGGCAAAACTCTAGATTGCGTAGAAGGGGAAAACAGGGGAAGTTGAATCCACGGTTTTTCTTTAACTATTTAAAAAGAATATTAATTCATATTGTGAGAGTCAAGCTGGCTTTCGAAAGAGCTTTTTTCTGGCGGCTAAGTAACTGATTAACATGAGAATTACAAAACCGCTTTACCAAAGCGTTCCTTCACCAACTGATGGAATATCGTGTATCTTGTGCTATCAAAAATTTCAGATTTTTGACATAATTAAGTACATTTCAGTATGAAATTCCAATCATAACAAATGCAAATTTATGTTAGACATTTTGCCGGGAGTATCTACTTAGAAAATTTTTTGATCCATCATGTGTAAGCTATGTTAGAAAAGACTTTATTGCTATTATAATTATTAAGGACTATACAGCGCTGATCGGAGATATTGTCACAACGTGCAAATCCATAATCACTGAGGGATTAACTTCAACATTTGTCAAATTAGTTACCATTTGGCTTGCCTTATAAACTATTTCTGCAAACAAAACTGTGTAAACAAAAAACTTTAAACTGGAACTACTGTTAACAGGTAAAATATTCCATACTTATTTGATATCAGTGAATGCTCTTGTATCGCAAATTATGCTCACTGCGGTTTTACGCTAAACGAAAGGATCGATTTCCAAGCAAGTGAGGCACAATTTAATGGCTAGATTTTATCCATCAAATGTCCTCTGTGAACAGTATGTGTTATTAGACATCTTATACTTCAATTTTGGTTTAATGAATATAAATAGATCGCACGCGCTCAAAGTGAGTATACCTTTTGCAAGATCCATTCCTTGCCTTTACACTACTGTCAGAATCCGCCTATAGACCTTAGGATGTGCAACATAAGACATTCAGGCTTTAACCATAAAAAGCTGTAAAATATCAAAATACCTTTCAATTTATTCTCAAATGATCTTTTCAATGTGCAGTAAAGGACCACCTGGTTGCTTTTTAATTAAAAAAGCAAACACATCATTTTAGTCATACTAAATCTTCAACTGCTTTAACTATATTTTTGCATTATTACTTTGAACATTTGCGTTTGTAACCACAAACGTCAAAGCTTGGCGTTCTTTGTGCAAACTTTTTGCATCGACTTACGGTCTTCGGAATAAAAGTCGTACGTGTATAAAATGTGTTAGATCCTCACTTTGATAAAATATCCTCAGACCATACTTTGAAACGAGCGAATAGCATGCACCCGCATATTTCTCGCTAAACTATGTTCCCGTTAACACAGAAGTGAACTGGAATTTTGAAAAAATCAAATCGGAATTATATTAATGAGAGAGCTGCAGAGATATTTCTTGGCGACTTGAAAAGATTGTCCTCCAATTTGCTGTGTAATGTCGAACTTAATTCTCTTCCATCCACACTATCAATCAACAGACCGAAATAACTCTCTTGAAGTTATGTCTTCAACATTTAAAAAAATCTACATAAACTTGGCTGCTTTTTACTTTTGATTTACGGATGTTTCCATCTTAACATCCAAAATATATATATATATTTACGGATGCAGCAAATATCCATTAAATTTGTGTTATTAGTTTCAAAAGTTCATTCCACTTTTATGTCTAGAGCAAAAAAAGCTCTATCTTGCCTGTAAACAAGAATTGAAACTGTAGGCAGTGATCTGTTTTAATTTTAATTAATTAACATTATGTTTCAAAATTTTATTATCCCCGTACTTTAAAGACATTGAACAAAGTGTTGCATGTTTTTTGGAACGAACTAAATTAAAGATGCACTTCACAAACCTTTTTCCCGAAAAATTCGCAAATGCTTTTAGATATGACAAATAATTGTTTTAAATTCCTGCACGGTATTTTATAGTTTTAGTTACGAATTTTTGATAAAACTAAACAAAAAATGTTCAAGTAAATGTATACCAGAATATGGTTGCCAAATCTTTTAAAAGTCACAATTTCCGTAATGCAAATAAATCCTTAATAAGGCTTTAGATACCCGCTGAAAGTTCTATAGAATTATTGTAGAATCTTTTTGTTTAAACGAAAACGAACAAAACTTAGTTGGGACAAATGCAAGACGGGAGTTCAATTTCATTTTTGCCAAAATTTTTTAGAATGGCTTGTAAAGTAATGTGAACAAACACTACGAATTCAGAGATTTGTTTACAGAGTAACTTAACGATTTTCTCTTTTTAGAATACATAGTCAAGTGGAGTTATTATAATAAGAGCGCTTAAGAAACTTTAAAAATAAAACCGATTTGTTATATGTTAACGTTATATGTTAGCGCACCGGAACTATGCCATGTAACTGTATGCTCCTACAATCTCATAGTTTGGAAGGCCAAGAATTTTATTAAAGGCTGCTTAGTCCGACATACTGCTGTATCGAAGTTTGCAAAGCAAGAAGGTATACGCTACCATGATAGCACCATATGGAAACCAAAATTCTACTTTGTCCTTTGGAATTTAGGTAATAATCAAGTACTCGTTCCACGAGCCCATTTTATTTATCAATTTGAATACAGATTTTTTCAGTATTATACTTTTTGGCTCACGGATGCTATCAGAAGTGCGTAACATGCAAGTACTTGATTCTACGGAGTCAGCCATCAGTTTCAAGAGCTATAAAGTACATTCGCAAATTAATTGTTTGTGCAAATTCTCTTTCCATCAATTGATGAAGCGCGCGAAAAAAGAAATGCAGGGTATGCTTTTTTTGAATGCAACAACATACTCTTATTTATATTTCCACAATCGGAACAATTGATTGTAGCCCTTGTGTTATGGGTTGTTGCAATGTTTTCGTGTAGTTAGCTCGTCTTTTTTCAATATTTTTGCTAAACTGGTTATCGCGGATACCGTATTGACTTTTGTTTCCTCTATTTAAAAAAAACAAAAATAGAAAAATAAAAAAAAAGATAACAATTGATATTTTCCATTAGTAGTTCCCAATCTTTTCAAATGAGCAGTTTTTTCCCGAAATTACTAAATAGTAAACAACAATAAGTCGTAAAGACCCCCAGGCCGCCAGAGAAAAAAAAATTAAAAGTTCGAACTTTGCGGTGTTGCCAATTACTAACATCACTTCCATTGACAAAAAATATGTTTTTTTTCTTCAACTGATGCTAGCATAACAATTTCACAAATCAGTTCTTTCGTTATAAGAAAAGCCCTATATGACACTACAAAATAAATAGACTCTATATCGATTCTACTAGATGGTAATTTACTTGTTCTCGCTGGGAAACCGCTTACAATGGAATGCCGCATAAAGTCGAAATCATTAGCAAATTTATGACCAACTTCCGGTAAACTACATGACAAGCTTAACACAGTTAGAGGCGTAATTTATGCCCCGTGCTTAAAACATGTGCCGGAAGACGAAATAGTTCATGAAATGGGCAATCAAGGACTGACTGAAGTTTATAAATTTACTAAACTGAAAAAATCAAAGCAACAGCAAATATTGAAAAAATTAAATCAGCAACACGTATCCTAAAGTCTAATAAAGTAAATTCCCCAGAATCACCAACTCTCAACTCTAGTCAACAAATTATAAGTTGTAATGAATCCAATCTTTCATCCCTTAAACAATCTTCAATTTCAAATCATTCACGTGCGCCCACTTGTTGCACTTCAAATGTACGCAACCACCTAAGTATAGATTATTCTGCCGGTAAGAACAAATTATTTACGAAAAATTCCTATAGCGACATTTTCGACGGAAACGCTGACATGTCAACTTAGCCCATATACAACGCCGTTTCTACTGTAGCATTATGGATTTATCGTCATCCACCCATTCAATAGTCATATATGCTTAGTTCACACTTTATTATATTTCCACATAATGTAAACGTAGCTATAACCTAGCTAAGATCTGTCCTACCTATTTCCACATACTGCAAGTCAAGCTATGGCCTAGTTAATATAACGCAATCTAGCTTTACATGTAACTTAAGTAATAGCCTACTTTAATTCCACTATTTTGCTTAAGTTAGTATAATAATTTATTGTATAAATTACTGACCACAGTTCAGCAAAGTCAGATGTAAAGTCGGAAGTAAAGTAATAAGTAATATAATCAATAATAAATATTCATCAAAACGGATCTTTAATTGTGTTTTCACTACACCATGCCACTACAATTAAATAAAGTTCTTAAAATTTTACATCCCTTCAAGAGACCCATTGTAGAAGTTCTTTCAATCCTATTTCACCCGTATAATATACTGGCTGTAACGTGCGCGGGCAAATTTAGGGAAGGGTGCCGAAAATGGAGCAATAATGGCATCCCATTATGCAAAATCGCGTGATTTTGCGGTTTGTTCCCTTTCTTTTACACAATAGCGGCTAGCCGCTAAGTAGCCAACGCAAAAGAAAAAGAAAAGAAAGAAAAAAAAAGAAATCATGCAAGGAGATTAGGTTTTGGGTTTGATTGATTTGTCTGGTAGAGGGAGTCGGGTTTTGACAATGCAACAGAAAGGTTCTGAGTTATCTTGAAAAAATTTATAGTTAATAAAAAAGTCAAAACACTCGCATATGTTTCGTTATGTTGTGTCAGTAAAATAGATCAACTTAAAGAAAAAAAAGAAAAGACGAAAAAAAAAAATTAAATGTATTAAAACTTGGAAAAGAAAAAAAAATTAAATTAATTACGGTTCGAGCTAAAGTGTAGGTTAAACTTATTCTGTTCAATGGGAAGATCGATATTTACAAGTAACATTAATTTTTTCTGGATTTGTTAATAAGAGCCGGTAAACGTAAAGGATATTACATGAACTCCTAAGGAATAAATAATAGAAATTGTGTTTTGTTATAAACGAAGAATTGGAAAAGTTGTAAAAAGCGATTGGAAGCGACTGAAAGAAAAAGAAACCAAGCCGAATAGTTAAACATGCACAAATATTACTACGGATACGAACAAGTTTTTATATAAATAATCGCGTTAAATGCCAAAAAGATTGATAAGCAAAATTTATTCAAAAACAAATTGTAGATAATACGGTAGTGACTTATATCCTGAAACTACGAAAAGAAAAGGTGTTGTGAAAGTGCTCCTTTTCCTTTAGTTACCGAAAGGAACATACAGACATGCAGAGTACAGTTTATTCAGTTGGACGATAGGCCCTAGAACATGCCAACTCTTGCCATTAGAATGCGTGAACAGTTGCAAAAAAAAGAAAAAAAGGGGAAAGCAAAGTTTAAATCCCGTATGACATTCAGTGACCTCTGCATGTTCATGTGCGCGGTTGCCAGATGGTTTGACAAAAAAAAAAAAAAAAAAAGAGAGAAAAGGGGGTAAGCAAAGAAAGAGAAAAAGCAAGGGAGAGTTCGGTATACTCTAACTTAGTATCGTGAATGATGAGACCTAAAAGAACACCATGTGTGAAAGCTCGATCGCAAGAGAGTTGGTTTTTGTGCTACCCGGTAGATGTGACGTTGAAAAAGTAGCTGCCTGCACTAAAGAAAGCTTTTTAGAAAAGAAAATTTAAAGTTTTGCTACTGCTTTACTTTTCTTTTTTTGATTGCCTAAACGAAGAAATAAACAAATGAAATTTAGCAGATGTTAAAATTAACGCTTTGTAAGAAATATTAAAAAAAATGGCATGTGTAGATGTGTGGAAGTAAATGCAAATATTAGATGGCTTTTGTACCATTATTCACCCGTCAAATGAATTACCTATGTACGCGATGAGAGAAATAAATGATACATATATATATATACATATAGACATATAAATAAGTTACATATACCTACACTTATGTACCACTAACAGCAAAAAGTGAACCTTTTGTTCTATATATACAGAGGCTCTTATAGCATTAATGAAAAACGAAGTAAGGCTGAAGAAAAGCAAAAAAAAGCAAATAAATGCAAAGAGAGTAATTTTTTCTTGTAAATAAATGAAAAATGTTTTCTAAGCATCTGCTGTCAAGAGATGTGAACAAGTTACGTTGTAAAATTGTCAAAATTTATAATAAATCGATAAACAGTGGAAATAAAATATTTGCAGTTTTTATTGCTACGATTAGTTAGGTGTACTTATGTAAAAACGAAAACAAAGGCATTAGTAAAATTGCCTGTGAAGTGGACCCAGAAAGGAAGTAGTGAAAGATCCCTAAGAAATTAGTTCAATTCCCAAGATGCGAAAACATGAAAATACATGACGTTTGAGAACATTTGTTAATGAATTAATTCTGGAGCAAATAATAAAAAAAAAAGCTCTGTTTAAAAAAAACCAATATTTAATAAAAACACTGCTTATGACCACGCCATTGGCCGTGGCTACCACTGAACAAGGAGCTCATTGGAGGAAGTATAAGGAGAAGCAGAGATCCTGTTCGGTAGGACCAAGAGCGGTAAGGGCCGGGGCTGCTGCAGAGGAAGGAAGACGCGATTGACGTCTGCATCCCATCCCGAGGTAGTCCGTTGGGGAGCAACAACATCAACGATTTTTGCCGCTGGATCTGCTGCTTCACACAAAGGTCAGGTATTTACCTTCTTTTTCTTGTTTTCGAGTTGTATGTGAGCCGCGATGAGTGGCTAGAGTGAAAGTGCTACCGCAGTAGCGGGCGTGCGGTGGGGGTGAGCGCGTGAGGAGAGGTAGTGGGACATCAGACAGATACAGAGGGACGAAGAAAAGATCAACGGATGATGTACCGGACACACGACATGAGTATACAGTGCAGGGGAAAGATCTTTTCTTTTTTGTAATATGTGATGATGGTTTTTTTTGTTGTGCAACCGCCCTACCTAGGGCTAGGCATTACAACAACGTTTTTTTTTATGTGAGAAAAAAAAGGAGGTTATAAATAAAAACGCTACAATAAAGTGGCGCCCAACGTGGGGTCGTTTTATTACAAGAACCTTTCTTTCTTTCTCTTTTTTTTTATCGGAAAAAAAGAAA